GTGGGTCAGGGGGGGGGGGGGGGGGGGGGGAATAATGCAAATTTTGCGGTCGGGGGTAACAACCGGTGGTGCCACCGTGGCAGGTGCAATACGGCGCTTTATATGTACCTGCCTGCCTCTCCGCGCGGATCCGCGCGCGCGCGAAATACCTACTCCCGCTACTGCTTTTTTCCCTTCTAAAAATATTCCGCCGACCTTAGACTGCGAATGGCATTAATATTTTTTTTCCCCATTCTTCCCCTTCTCCTCCCCTCCCTTTGTCCCGCCCCCGCGGCGAGGAAGAAGCATTAATGGTCCTTTTGTCGGGACCAAAGTATACACCGTCCGACCGCAGAGAGAGAAAGAGAGAGAGAGAGAGAGAAAAAAGGGCGATCCTTTTAGGCTACGCGCCGACACAAAGGTATACTTTCCTTTAGGTTTGAGATTCTTTTGAATCTCTCGAAGAATCCACGTGTAAGGGCGACCGTTAATCGAGAGAAAGAGAAAGAGAGGGAGAGAGAGAATGCATTATGAGATAGCTTATCGTTTTTAAAACGGCCACATTGTGATTAAATTAAATTTCGACGTGCTCGAATATTCGAATAATTCGTCCGATTATGCGTTAATACGCGTTGCGGATAAAAATTGCAACAGAAATAGCTACAAAAAGAGTACATTCTATGGGCTTAAAATTCTATTGGCTTTATGTAGACTTTTGTAACTAAGAGAAAAATATCAGTATTTTGTCTTTCATTATACAATATTTTACGAACACTGAAAATTTATATAATGGCAGTTTATATAAAAATATGAACAGCTATTCTTATAACATTTTACTTTGGACGAAATTGTTAGAAATAAATTAAACTGAAATAAATTTTCATATATTTGTTTTACGCAAATAAACAAGCGTTATTATAAAACAAAATATAATTTAATTTGTTTAGTTTAATTTTTGTTCTTTCCAAAATTTAGTTTAAAACTTATTTCCAGGTTACTTTAATCGAAACGAAACGTTGTGATAAGAATCTCGCGATTTTTATAAATATTTGACATGTGATGCTAATTAAAGTATTTACATTATTGGATAAATTCAATGGGGTAGATCAATCGCCTGATAAGCGAAAAACCCTCTGTAGATTCGATTTTTGGTCCGCATATAGATTGAAGGATAAACAAAATTCGAGACACACAAAGATCTACACTGTGATAAGAATAAAATATATGAGAATGAAAAATGAATCTCACCATAAATATATAAACAGCGGAGAGTTACTACAAAACATTATAAAAAATAATCAAAGTAACTTTATGATCTGGCCAATGTCACGACTACTATTACCACTATGCACAGCATGTGAAACAATTGCAGCATCCGCTTTATGATATTTATATTTAAAAAAATGAGATATGATGAGATGAGAGAACGAAAAGTATGTACGAACATTGAGTATTGCATTACTGTGTACGTTTGACATTATGTAGGACTATTTATGGGTCTCGCTCTGATTGACCGTTATATTAACTTGATTGCATATTTGTGAACCTCTCTCTATTTTTATATTTAAAAAAAAATATTTAATTTTATATGAATTGTGTAAAATTAAATGTTTCTTTTTTTTGTTTGCCGTTTTATAACCGTATTATAAAGGCATCCGATCAGAAAGAGAGACAAAAATCTCCAAACTCTCCGCTAATTGTATAAGAAGGATCAGTGAAATCCTCTCTCGATACGCGAACGGTAAAAAGAATTCTCTATGAAAATATAGTTTTATTCCGGCGAAAAGATTGTACATCATCGAATCGAAAG